CCACATGCCTCTTCCTGGAATTGGCTTCTAGAGTTCTTATCCACTTGCCCATCAACTTATTGATGAAAATCTATTTTACAGGGTTCGAGGTAGGATGTGGCTTGTTCACTTGTTCACAAAATATCAGTAGGCTTACTGTAAAGAGCCATATCACCCTAGTAATTCTGGGACTAATTGTGGTGGTATACCAGCTGACAGTGCTGGTGGTAATGACTTTCTGCCAGAAGGCTCGATGGGACACTTATGTGAGCCATGTAAGGCTGTGTGGCAATATGAAGGTTCTATGATTTTTTTTTTTGTGGTTGTTAACAGTGCTGAGGGGGATGACAGGGAGTCTCTGTAGGAAAAGCTCTTGAAAGCTTAAAGCTGCTTTTTTTACATTTATTAATAAGCAATGTTAATTTATACAATTTTATGCCTTTAATATTTTACAACTTTTTAAATTGTTTTAGAAGACTATTAAAAATGGACTTTTAATATAAAACGTATAAAATTATTATAAACCTTAATAATGTAATATTGGGAAGAAATAGTTTATGGGTCTTTTTTTTCTATTCAGTGCACAGACCATTTCAGTTGGTCCATTTCCAATAAAACATCCTTCAAGCCGTCACCAGACTCCTGACAATGTCCCCTCACCTCCGCTCTCTCTGCCACCAGGAGCAGTGTTTGCAGTACAGGGACCTGGGTAAACTATGACTTTAAATAACTGAGTCTGCTTTACAGGATAGGAATATATGCAGGTAGAGTACTATAATCCGTGCTCCTACCGTCACAGTAACCAGTGTATGCCCTTCTGTAAATATTGTAAGACAACATATGTGTGTGTGTGTATGTATGTATGTATGTGCGTGTGTGTGTATATGTATGAAAAAATATAAAAACATTTTCTCTAATATTACAATATCAAAAAATTATATATGGAAAGGCTGAGCCTGTGAGTGGAGTTACCCAGTCTATAAATACACAGGTTGCCCCTCCCTCTGGGCTGAGACTGTCTGGGTCAGTACAGAACCATCTACTTCTGGTACAAAGGTCATCAACACAAACTGCCTAAACCCCAAACAAGCTGGTCTTGGCCTAGTGCGGCCCACACAAGTATTCATTGTACCTCACTCTAGTAAAAAAAACACCCGACTCGCTCAAAGCACATGGGGCACCGCTGTGTCCGGCCCAGCCGCAGCTTCTTTAACTCGAAAACCGAAAGTTAGTTGTTTGGCCATTCAGATACAGCGATTTTCACTAGTAACGCAAATTCAGGCTATTTCAATGGTATATAGCATCAGACCGATGCCTCGTTCTGCGTACTGTATCTGGCCCTTACTGGGCCATATCGACTCTTATCATATGCACTTCAGTTTGTCACCCTACATTTTAATGTTTTCTTTGTCTGCCCTCCGGGTATTCAGGCACTCGTTGGGTCCACATTGTTTATTAATTATATGGCTAGGTGTTACAACTGACTATAAATTTGGGCCTATACATGTGGTTATAGCGTAAGCACATCATTTTTGTTCGCCTTCCATACGTTCGGTCTGCATTCGACCGCTCAGCTTTTCCTTATACAGTACAACCTCATCCGCCTTTTAGACACCGTTAACATTTCAGACAATTTGGCCGCCAGTTTTATCGATTGTATGTGTCAATCATGTTTGGCCATATTAGGCTGGCTCAGGTATTGTGATTACTTTTACTGTCTTATTTGTATGGTCTATATTCATTAGGTAAACCTCATTCGGTTATGTTCAGTTTAAGCATGACGTTATAGCTAATGTTAGTATTACTGAGAGAATCTACCATTATTCTAGCATTTCCTGTTGCTTTCAACCCTAATCTTCCGTGCATACTACTTACCACCACCAGACCACCAGGGATAGGTGTCTCTCCAGAATTAAGATATATATATATTTTATTTTATTTATTTTTTTAATGTACCCCTACCCCCCACACACCACACACATCACCCTACCCCGCACACACACAGCACCCCCACACACACACACAGCACCCCCTAGACACACACACTACAATCCCCCGACACACACACCGCACCCCTCACACACACACACACACACACACACACACACACACACTGCATCCCCAGACACACACACACACACACACACACACACACTGCACCCTCACACACACACCGTAACTCCCCTCAGGAGACACACACACACACACACCGCACCCTCAGACACACACACACACACACCGTAACCCCCAGAGACACACACACACACCACACCCTCAGACACACACACACACCCCAGACCCTCAGACACACACCTGCACCCCTCAGACACACACTTTGTAACCCCTCAGACACACACTTTGCACCTCAGACACACACACTCTGCACCTCAGGACACACACACACACTGCACTCTTCAGACACACACACACCGCACCCCTCAGACACACACACTGCACCCCTCAGACACACACTGCACCCCCGACACACACACACTGCACCCCTCAGACACACACACACTGCACCCCTCAGACACACGCACACTGCACCCCTCACACGCACACTGCACCCCTCACACACACACACACAGCACCCCTCAGACAGACACACACAGCACCCCTCACACACACAGCACTCCACACCCTTACACACAAACACATACACTGCACCCCTTAATGCAGTGTGTGTGTATTCAGCAGTCTGTGTGTGTGTGTATTCAGCAGTCTGTGTGTGTGTGTATTCAGCAGTCTCTGTGTGTGTATATTCAACAGTCTGTGTGTGTGTATTCAGCAGACACTGTGTAGCGGATGGTACTATGGCTGTCCTTAAAGACTATTAGAATCCTGCAATTCGTGTGTTATTTCTGCTGTATAGTTAATTGTAAGTAGAATTCGTGTGATTGACGAATGGAAACTACCGAACCAATAGACCACCCCAGAGTGAAGTATGTCCCTCGTTAAGCTGCACACTTCTCGCTAACCGCAGATTAATAGGTGTTTTATGTATGTATCTGGGTGGCCGCCATTCGGCATACGAACACGTGGCGGCGGCCATCTTACGCACAAAAGGCTCAGCGGTGTTTGGTCGTCGAGTGTCTGGAACTTAAATCGGACACTCAATTACCCGAACACCGCTGACACCTCCAGAGCTCCGTAACTCCTGAACGGGAAGGCGAATCAGCCCCCCGTTCGTTACGTTTAAAGTACCGAATGAGGGGAGTCATACGAATGTAATAGTATTCGTGGATGGCAGCTTTTTATATGTATTTCAACTCCCAAACGGAGACCGACCGCAGGGCCAAAACACATGGAACCCTTGTCGGATACCACCTCGTGTGCGGTCGGTCAAATTATACCCTCCACCTAACTCCCGAACCCCTGGTCTGATCTGAGTGAATTTTGGATATGTTAGTCACCCAGATCAGTATTGGTGTATCTGCTGATCTTAGGGTACATCCAGAACTTGGGGAAAACTATAACCTGTATAAAGGATTAAGTGTCATACTGAGGGGAGGTGATGTGTGGGAGGTAACTGCTATTCCATTGGATACTGTACTAATGAATGTGAATTCCTCCCTTGCATGGGAGGATGCTTAAAAGGAGGTTGTGTGGAATAAAAGTTAGTTCTGCTCCTGATGCTGTGTGTCGTCCAGTCATTGGGATATTCCTGGATTACCTGGCTTGCTGGAATTATTACTTTATGGAATTTTTCATCACTTCTTCCTGATCCTCACTGGGATCTTAGTGGAGTTAACCTATGAAATATCAGGCCTCCGCTACACTGCGTGTGTATTCAGCAGACTGTGTGTGTGTATTCAGCAGACTGTGTGTGTGAATTCAGCAGACTGTGTGTGTG